TCGCAATCAGGGCAGTTTCAGGGCAGTTTTGGCCTTGTTGTTGGGAAATCCACTAGGCCTTCTATTTTTTCGCTTGCGTCAGGCTTGTGTCCTTCCTCCGCCCCGCCTCCAAATTACCTAGTCCCAGTCTTTTCATGTGAAAAAGCGCTGAATATTAAAAAAATATAAATAAAAATAGAAGGACTAGGTCTAGGCTGTATAATTTCTAGGAACATGTTAGTAAGTCATTGCGTTCGGTAAAGAGAATATAGTGTCACGGACATACATGAGCACATTGGCATCGCCTTCATATATATTACGATCTTTTTCGAATTAAGTGATATCCGACAACACTGATTTCATCCTTTGAAAATGAGTCATCAATTTTGGTTTAATTAATTGCTAAAATATCCAAAGGACTAACTCGAAGCTCGTCAATATGCTTTGGAAGACTATTAATGTTTAAGCATGAAATCCTAATACTTTTCGACTTCGAGTTATTTAATTCATTCAATATAGACTTATCTGATTTATGGAAATCCTTACTAGGTCCTGAACCTGGATCACACCCAATTTAAAGTTCTGACAACATGTAAATCAAATCTCAATAAAATTGGGTGGCAGAAATAATAGGTTGAACAAGATACATTTAAATGTTAAAATCTCACCTTGGTTTGAATTTTCCTCGCCATGTGTGGCAACCGAATCAACAAGTCTAGCCATCTCTCTCAGCTCTTCAATCTGCTGTTGCAATTCGTTCCTTTGAGTCTCCAACTCCTTATTTTGTTGAGATGCTTCTTGCAGAGCATGTCGAAGTTTCTCATTCTCCTCACTTAAAATAAATGACAGTATCAGTCATTAATACAGGTTCTTAAGATTTTGACAGATTTGTCCGCCTTGTTTGAAATTATAAGGTTTAGATTTGACTTCCGCTACCGCTACCACCACTACCTCTCACTGGCTTAGTATACGTATCTGATTGGTTAATCGAATATATCAAACGCATTTGATTGGTTAATACACAGCTAAAAACGATCAGGTTGTTGCAATAATTGATGAAAATAGCATTGAACAATGTTGTGCGGCCCACAATGTTCACAGTTGTCAACAATATTGAACAATATTGTTTCACCCGATTCAGGCTCAACAATATTGTTCAATACTGTTGACAAGTGTGAACAATGTGGGCCGCACAACATTGTTCAATCCTGTTAAACAGCAGGCTCATAATTTTTACGCGTGTAGTACACTATACCGGTAGTGCCAGCGGTAGTGGAAGTCAAATCTGAATCTCTAGCTCTAATAATGAGGTTTAGATATGAATTCCACTGCCACTACCGTAGAGAGACCATTAATAATCAATCAGATGCGTTTAATACTAAATGAGTAAGGCATAGCGGTGGTGGTAGGCAAATCTAAACCTTACAAATTAGGGGCATTCAGTTCAAATAACAGAAGAATATAATTTTTTCTGTGTTGGTGAATATGACGATGTTTGTGATGTCACTCTGAAGCCTGGTTCACATATATGCCTGCGACGTACCGGCGACGATGCCGGTGGTAGCTTAAAACGTAAATTATGTGAATATTTGTTCGCCGATTGCCTGCAGTGCCACAGTTACATCGGCGGTAGGCCGGGAAAGTTGACTTGAGTTCAACTTTGCCGGTATTTCGGCGGCAAGTAGAGGCATAATGATACAGTCGCAGGCATAGCGCAGGCATACGTGAACCAGGCTTGAGTGTATATCCACACCGGGCGAGCTTGAAAAATATGCCCTGACACGGTGGGAATCGAACCTACGACCTTTGGAATACTAGCCCAATGCTCTGCCAACTGAGCTACGCGGTCAGGACGGTTCGAGTAAGTGACATTTCGGAACAGAATCTAGTTCCTTCGATACCAGTGTAATCTAGTTATATGATTTTTTTCTGTGTTGGTGTTGTGTACCCAGGTGAATATGATGTTTGTCATGTTACTCTGAGTGTATATCCACACCGGGCGAGCTTGAAAAAATGCCCGGCCACGGTGGGAATCGAACCTACGACCTTTGGAATACTAGCCCAATGCTCTGCCAACGGTTGATCAACAAGTGATATTGCGGAACAGAATCTAGTTCCTTCGATACCAGTGTAATGTAGTTATATGATTTTAATAATGTACACAAGCAAGGCGTAACTATTCAATTTCGATGTCTGGTAAAGCTGGATCACAGCGTTCGTGTGCTGGTCGCGGAACGTTAAATTCAAGGAGTAATTATTCAAACGTTAAATTTAGGTAGTAAAATAGCACTTTTCACCGAGTGTTTGAGATGTTTTCGTTCAAGGAAAACGAAACATAAAACTCAAATACTTGAGAAATTACTTATCGAACCCAGTTCGAGCCCACGTTTTATTGACCAGTTTAGCTTCCAAACGAAATACTTGGTGTAATATTGACGAATTTGTACCAATTAACGATTTGTTTCTTTTGCCGGCTTTTGCACCACGAAATACTTATGGCAACTAACTATACATAGCAAAACATTTTAAGAATTCAAGGAGTATTCAAGGAGTTTTTTTAAAAGTGTAAATTTCAAGCGCCCTTGAAAAGTCAAAACTTATTCAAGTAGTAGTTAAGGAGTAGCACTATCTCCGGATCATTCTCCTATTAATGATGAGAATAAAATATAATCGAAAGGTACAGTAGATCATTAAATCTGGTTTTTCATTAGAAGCCAAGAAACGTTGGAAAGAGGTTAAATAATGCTGTACGAGATCGTACGTTGTACAAACCAATTGGCGTGCACTTCATCGATTTTGACGTACACTGCACGATGTCCTAAGCTTAGTTTTACGTTGTCCTTATTTCGTGTATATAAGAAATGAAACTGTTTCGCGATTCAAAGCATGTATACCCTGTACATGTAGCATATGAGCCTTACTGCAAGCAGCCAATTCCAGTATACACTAAGGCCGCGTTTACACAAAAAACGCCACGGAAAATTTCCGGAGCGTATTGAATTGCATCCGTAGTGCCAAGTCCGTAGTTGGTTAGCCTCGTGCCAAGCTCTATGCTTGAAATAGAGGCTGCTACTGAAGTCAATACAAAGTGGATTTATGCAAACGAATGAAACACAAAATTCTGATTGGTCAGAAATAAATAACCTTGCCTTTTAAGGCAATATCAAGTTATTGTTTTCGTAATATGATATTTCGTACATGTAATTGTGCTTTTCGCCACTTAATTCCTGCTTTTACTGCTCATAAACACGATTCCTGGCCGTTAAAGAGAATTGGCCCATGCATTTTCGAGATATTGGCGGTTTCCCGATCCTAAGCGAGTCAGTTACGCGGAAAATTGGCTGTTATTGTCATATATGAAATGACGTCTTTTAAATCTCGCAGCCGCGGCCAATTTGATAACGATATTTTTTAAAAGTCTCGTAGTACATGTAAAACAAGCACCTACTACGAGATAATGGCGTGCGTACGTTATGGCGTAAGAAGATGGCGAGCATGTCCAAAAAAACGAATCTCGTAGTCGTACTCGTACTAAAATCTAAAGCTCCCTATTGACTTCAATAGCAGGCTCTATTTCAAGCATAGAGCCTGACACACAGGCTAGAAGTTGGTACGCCACGGCAAACCACTCCGTTATGGTGTAAACACAATGCTAAGAAACGTAGTCAATTTTGTAACGGAATGCTAGTCGTAGCGTAATAGTGTAATAAACGTGGCCTAATTTCACAATGAAAATTTCAATTCTGGTGTCATTTTTGCCAGAGATAAGAAATAGATGACGCCAACTCGGATCGGTGAACGCTCGTTGACGTTGTCTGAAAATAACGTTATCATACGTTCTCTTGGATATACTTGGCGTATGCCAAAATTTTTTCGGCGCACAATCGTACGTCCGTACGCCCATATTCCCAAGGTGAATAACTGATATAGCAAACACCTTCAGGAGTGCATATAAAGCAACATCGACGCGAATGATTATTACGAGTGTAATTTTATAAATCTATCTACAGCTCAGTTGGTTAGAGTTGTACCGGAATCGCAGGGCCGTACGTTCGATTCCTGCCAGAGGGCCTATAGTTGCATTTTTCGTAACTGCTCCTGGTTAGGTCAACAGCAGGCCTTAAAATATCTTTTACAGGGCCGTCTGGCAAAATGTCCGATGACTTTCAGTTTGGGTCGGACATATGTATGAGATGTCCGATGACCTTCAGTTCAGTTTGGCTCGGAAATAAGTCTGAATGACGCAAATTAATATCAGCACAATGTCTTAATTCTGAGCTAAATGTTGTGAAGATATTAAATAATTTGTGTCATTCATACTTACTTACAAGCCAAGATTAACTAGCTTGCCAATAATAGCAGTACGACTTCGACTAAGCCCGTTTTCCACTTCACCATTTCGCTCGCCGCCTCGAGCTCGTTGACATTATTAAAAACACTTCCGGTTCGTTCATTTTTGTACAATACTCTAATTCTCCATTATAACATACAAGCCTCTAGTCCTGGACTAGGGTACATTTTGATTTACGTGCATGGAGAAAGAGTCGGACAAAACAACATTTCGGTCGGACACCAATTCACTCGGGTCGGACAAACAATAAATCTCAGTTTCACTTAGGTCGGACAGCATGTCCGGTGGTTTCCTCTCTACGTCTGACAATTTGACGAATGGATCGGACAATGTCCGTGACCGACCGATATTTTAAGGCCTGCAACAGAGCTTTCAAAATTAATTAAGTACGCGTCTGTGACGAGAAAGTAGGGAGTTTACGATCTACGACGCGGCCGGCTCGACGACGCGCTTTCAAAACAAAAAAAAATGGTGTTTCCACAAACAATAGTATTATATGTTTTATTGCCATGCAAACCTACAGTACAAAGAAATTTGTCATGCAAGACAAAAACTGTCAATAATTCGTGGTCCCAGAGTATTGTCAACCGCGTTGTCATTCTCAACACAACGTTAAACAAGCATTATTACGTCTTTCGGTCAACGTGAAAGCTTAATGCGACCCAAGAGGTGTTACTTAAAATCGAAATTACAGCAAACATTGCATCGCTTCAGCCGAACGTAGCAGTTTGTAATGTTATTTGAAAAAGCGTCAAATATTTTTTACAGTAATCAAATTGCTTACCGCTCATTCTTGAGCTGAAATTTAGACCGCGTCGTTGAGCCGGCCGCGTCGTAGATCGTAAACTCCCTTGTAGGTGGGTGAAAGAATAATTTTACAAATATGGGATACGTTTTGACAACATTTCAAGTCAGCTATAAGATGAAGTTCTGATGAAAAATGGATGAAGTTCTTGTTGAAGAGATATGCGTCATCACTAAAACGTCAGGATATTGACGAATCCTTCATCCTGTACTGTACGAGTTCTTAGCCTGGTTTTGGTTTTTAGATGGTTGTTAATGTCAAAAATCAATTCTACAGTATATATACTGTACGTTTGGTCTATAGCCATTGTCTTGAAAATTGTAAAACGTTAAAGATTCAAGGAAAACACAGATTTATAGAAGTGCATGTAGAATCAATGATGTTTTGAAGAAAGTAGCTGGCGGTGAACTTCGTAACACTCGCCGGAGCTCCGGCCGCCGGCGGATTATTTTGAAAGTCTTGTCAGGTCTAAAGCCCGTTCTCCACTAGGCGAATATTTTCGCGCGACGCGAAGCGAAAAACAAATCTTGGCAATGTGATTGGTCAGCGAAAAAATTCGCCGAGAAAAAGTTGGATCATTTCCTACTTTTTTACTGTTCGCGCGAACAAATTCGCCTAGTGGAGAACGGGCTTAATAAATGTATAAAATTTCAACTCGTAAATTTTCATCTGCAAAAACTCTTCAAGAATTAGTTCTATTGAGTGAGATGACCAAAATGAAAATCCCAATATCTACTTGATACTATAGCAAACATAATAAGAAAAATAAAACACATGAATACCTCAATGCCACAATCGGACTTTCATTTTCCTCTGTTGCTGCCTTGTACTTCATTTCAATATCCTTCAAGGCATCACACTTTGCTTCAAGTTGACTGTGAAGACACTCGATGTGAGATTGGAGCTCTTTGTCCTCGATCAGTCGCTTTTGTGTTTCTTCACTATTGATACAAGCTTCTTTTTCAAGTGTGTCCACTTGGCGTTGCAGAAAATCATGGTCTTTCTTAACCTAAAAAATTAAAGATGGTGGCCCAGTGATTACTAGTGCTTACTGTATACATTGACTTTTATCATAGACAATCCAAAAGACGTGTCTTTTGGATTGTCTACGCTTTTACTCACTACACTCTAAAAACACTTTGGTTATTAAAATAACTATTCAGGGTATTAGTCAGAAGATAAAAAATTCGGAATTTGGAAAAACTGCATGAAATTGGGAATTTCATGCAGTTAGCTTGTGACATTCAGACTGGATTTAAAGCTACGTTTACACGCTGCGATTAATCGTGTACGATTCGTTTTCTGGCGTATGTCATTGAGTGAACACGCGTAAGCTGGCTACATTTGAAATTTCTTTTTAACGAAACGGCAATGAATTATGGCGCCAGCACTCATTTTAATACGCCAGAATGCGAATGGTACACGACAAATCGTAGCGTGTAAACGTAGCTTAAGGAATATCGTTTTCTTAAGTGACGTTTTGTGGCCTAACGCCAACTGAGCTAAATTCAGGGGTCAAAATAACGGTCGGTCAACCAACAATGACCGGCAAAAATGCCTTTGACCGGTCACTTTTTTACCTCACCAGTCATTTTTGACCTGCCACATTTCCATGCATTCCAATTTGATTGCTGACGTCTTGAATTAAAAGATGACCGGTGATCGAAATGATGTATCAAAACGAGTTTCTAATTGTTTGTTTCACTGTTAGTGTAAGCCTATCAATGGCCGGCCAAAAACAGATGTTGACAAACCTAAAATCAAGTTGACCGGTCATTTTGACCGGAGACTTATCTCCCGTTATTTTGAGCCCTGGTTAAATTGAAACTTTTGAAATGCAAGTCAGCTGACACTGTTTGGCGCAGAAAAAACAGATAAATATCTATTTTAGGCTAGACGACTCGTCGCAACACTTATCGCCAACTTTTCTTGAGCAAAGTTTTGAAATAGAACAATCTTTTATATAATAATTACGTTTTTGGCTGATCTAAATTGTAAAATTTCTGGCTAAACGTCCACCAACATTATAGTGTGACATACAGTACATGTGAGTCAAATATTCATTGTCAATTAACGGGTTAGTCTTGTTGACGTGACCAATTAAGAATCTGGTTATATTCGACCAGCACGTCCTTGTTAATTAACCACACTATGCTACGTGTATAGACCTTATTCATAAATCGTGATGAGGCCTCGTATCCTAGGAAACGGGGGAAAACGTGGGAAAATTGACAAAATGTTTTTTTGCTGTCGGCTATGGCAGCTTTTTTTCGTGAATATTACGGCTTTTTTCGAAAAATATATTTATAAAACTGATCTTGAAAGTTGAAAAAATACTTCTGAAAAAATATAACATGATATTTAAAGCAAAAGATGCTGGAGTCAATTGAAAAAGGAAATCTTTGACTTTGTATTATTGCCAAGTTTGTATGGGCAAAACAAACAACCAACAAGGCTACAAAACGTCTATACAACACCAAAATCGTAAGAAATATGAAACTATTGTTGACGAAACAGGATTACAACTCACTCAGGTAATGTAGCCTCCATTTTTTAAACTTGTAAGCTGCTTGCAGAATGTTATCGAGCCACAGCCATAGTTCATATTTTTCCGTACGAATCAATAACATTTGACGTTCGCTGTGATTTTTGACCTGTTGTTTTCTTTCATATTACTGTCAAATTTGAAAAATTATACTTTCATTCCATAGTTGTCTTGATTTTTCACGGAATAACCTTTATATTGACGATAAAATCTCAGTAAAATACTGTTTTTCGCTTCTGGATAAACACCATCGCTACGTTGTCATTTTTT